TTCTTTGTTTTGTTTTTTGTTGTCTTCATCAGAAGCCCTAAAGAATAGAACACATACACACTGCTGCAGCAGCAGCAGCAGCAGCAGCAACAGAAGAAGGCCTCACTGGCTTAAGGAAGCAAACGGTCTCTTGCTGCTCTGCTGACGCACAACATCTCCTGTTGCTGCTGCTGCTGCTGCTTCCTCCTGCTGCTGCTGCTGCTGCTGCTGTTCTTGCTGCTGCTGCTGCTGCTGCTGCTGTTTGGCTTGGTCAGCGCTCACGCCTGAAGCCACAGCATCTGCGGTTGTTGCTGCTGCTTCCGAAGCAGCAGCAACACTGTGCTGCTGCTGCTGCTGCTGTTGCTTCTGCTGCTGCTGCTGCTGCTGCTGCTGTCTTTCTCTTTCTTCGCGTTGTTCTCTCCGCTGCTGGAGATGTGCTTGCGCATGCAGTTGCTGCTGCTCTGCAGCAGCAGCAGCAGCAGACTGCCTCCCCCTACCGCCGTCTGCTGCTGCTGGGCGCCTCGTGCGGACTGCAGCAAAACAGCAGCAGCAGCAGCAGCAGCAGCAGCAGCATCAGCAGCAGCAACAGTAGTAGCAGCGACAGTAGCACCGCCAACAACAGCAGCAACAACAGCAGCAACAACAGCAGCAACAAACCCCCCCCTTTCCTTCCCACCACTACCCCTACCACCATAATACTAATAAAATAATAAAATAATAAAAAAATAATAAAATAAAATAAAATAAAACAAAATAATATAAATAAAATAAAATAAGATAAGTAAAATAAAATAAAATAAAATAAAATAAAATAAAATAAAATAAAATAAAATAAAATAAAATAAAGTAAAACAAAATAAAATAAAATAAAATAAAATAAAATAAAATAAAATAAAATAAAATAAAATAAAAAAATAAATACCTGAGTGTAGATAATTACAATAGGGTTTTGCTGCTGCTAGCCACTGAAGCAGATATTCTTGCTGCAGTGTACGCACAGCTTCATCATACTGCTGCTGCTGCTGCTGCTGCTGCTGCTGCTGCTGCTGCTGCTGTTCTATTTCTTGTTTCTCTTTCTCTGTTTCCTTTTGCTGCTGTTGCTGCTGCTGCTGCTGCTGTTGCTGCTGCTGTTGCTTATTATCTTTAATTTGTTTGTGTTTTTGTTTTTGTTGCTGCAGCTGCAGCATCATCTGCACGTTCCCTTTCTGCTTCCTCTGCTGCTGCTTCTGCTGCTGCTTCTGCTGCTGCTTCTGCTGCTGCTGCTGCTGCTGCTGCTGCTGCTGCTGCTGCTGAGAGAAGAAGTAATAACCTTCTATTTTAATACACTTATTAAACTCCCTCCATACAAAATCTATATCATCAACAACAAATGCTAGTTTTGCTTCTCTCGGAAATATTTTATATAAACTTTTGCTGCCGCTTATGCTGTCGCTACGCGTGAAGCAGCGACAACCAAAATATAAACCAGCTGGGTCTAGTACACGCAACGACTGCAGCAGCAACAGCAGCAGCAGCAGCAGCAGCAGCAGCAGCAGCAGAAGGAGCAGCAGCAGAAGGAGCAGCAGCAGAAGGAACAGGAGGAGAGGAGAAGCAGCAGAAAAAACAGCAGCAGAAACAGCAGCAGCAGCAGCAGCAGCAGCAGCAAGAGATAATTATAAATATGAAGATGAAAAAACAGCAGCAACAGCAGCAGCAGCAGCAGCAGCAACAGCAGCAACAGAAAGAGAAATAATAATAATAATAGCAGCAGCACTCTGAATACAGTGCAGCAACTCTCCTGTATCCATCTTCAGGGTTTAGGGTTTAGGGTTTAGAGGGGTTAGGGTTTAGGGTTTAGGGTTTAGGGTTTAGGGTTTAGGGTTTAGGGTCTGACGGTCTTTGCATGCGTTGCTGTGCCCATAGTATATAAAAACAACTCAAAGTAGCGAGACATCTCTCTGCAACACACAAACCCTAAACCCTAAACCCTAAACCCTAAACCCTAAACCCTAAACCCTAGACCCTCTAAACCCTAAACCCTAAACCCTAAAAACCCTAAAAGATGCTGGAAAAGAAGAAAAGAAAAAACAGCAGCAAAAGAACAGAGAGACAGAGTAAGAAGAGGTAACAGAAGAAATAAAACAGAAACAAAGCGAAATACAGTAAAAACGTTAATGAGGGTTTAGGGTTTAGGGTTTGGGGTTAATAAATAAATAAAATAAATAAAATAAATAAAATAAATAAAATAAATAAAATAAATAAAATAAATAAAATAAACAAAATAAATAAACAAAATAAACAAACAAATGTATAAAGTAAACAAATGTATAAAATAAACAAAATAAAAAAATAAAAATATAAAATAAAAAAAAAAATAAAAATAAAAAAAATAAAAAGGTTTACCTAAGAAATCCAATAACCCCGGGCCGTAATTTTATCGTGCTAGAGTGACCTACACACAACAAAATAAAAAAAAAATAAAAAAAATAAAAAAAAAATAAAAAAAATAAAAAAAAATAAATAAATATAAATAAATAAATACAAATATATATTTATATATAAATATATAAATATATAAATATATAAGAAGTAACTGAACAGGCAAAAACATAAAAAAAAAATAAATAATAATATAATCGCAAAATATATAAATAAATAAATAAATACACGAATAAATAAAATAAATAAAATAAATAAAATAAATAAAATAAATAAAATAAATAAAATAAATAAAATAATAAATAAATATATATATGTACACATATAAAAAAAAAAGAAACAAACAAATAAATATTAATTAATTAACAAATAAAACAGCATAAAACCAACAGAAAACAAAAACAAA